TATATATATATAGATATATAAATATATATATATATTTCCTATATATCTTAGATATATATAGTATAACTTTCCTTGACCAGTGTGTTAAAATCCTAGCAAATGTTTAAAATGCTCTGACCAGCCAGTCCAAAAACAATGCCATGCTTAGATTCACTTAAACCTCATTATGGTTCATTTAAACTTCAGCAGTTTGTTTCTACTACTTGCAATGACAATCGTAAATAATTGCCATATAGAACGCACAGCCTGGGTCATGGAAGGTTATAGGAGCATTTGATATGGTCCAGGTTGAAGAGAGCCTCAAGGTTAAATCTACAGACAGGTTAAGGTTTGGTAAAATCTAGAGCCACAGTTTACTCAGGTAAAACTGTTTGAACTGACACCCAGGCTAGCTTAAACAAAAGGCTCTCCCTCTTATCCAATAAAGGAATACATAACACCTGGCTATGCCCAAACTCACCAAAATAAATAACGCTAAAATACACCTAAATGAATTTCCCTGCAACTAGATTAATTAAGCTTCAGCATAAATATATTTCTAAGGATCATATTTTATAATAAAGTTATCAAATTTGCAAAACATTTACAGCAATATCACTTTGACTTACACCCTAACAGTTTAAAAGCAATAAAAAATTCCTACATGAAATTGAAGCATTGTCAGATAGAATGATTTTTACTGCTTTCAACAACATTTTTTTTTCTTATCTGACCAATGAAAGTAAGTTCAAATAGAGAATTCCTCTTATTGTCTGCCTTGTTCTGCAGATGGAGGTTGAGTGCGCCCTGCTGGATGGAGAACAGGAGTCGGAGATGGCTCAGCTGCAGAGGGAAAAAGAACAGTTGGAGGAACTCAAAGCAAAAATCCAAAGTGTCGAGAAAAAAAGCCATAATGAAAAATCTCAGGTAAAACGTTAAAAAAGTGCTGGGAAGGTTAGGTTTTTTGCTGGAGAGATAAGCAATGTGCTGTTTTTGAAATAAGTTAACTACACCACATAGTTTGGAAATGAACGGGCAGCATGAGAGCTTCTCGTTGGGAACCAAAACCCGCAGCACCAACAGGTCATCAGAGATCAGTCCAGTTAAACCACTGCATCCTAAAAAAGAGGTTCTGTTACATTTTCTTCAAAACCAATTTAAACCAGTTCTTTAAAAGTAAATAATGAAAGCCCCAAATGAAAAGAGGGATCAGCACAATTATCAAAGCAGCTGAGAAGCCAGCTTCAGGCACCCACCAACTGTCCAAATACGGAAATATAAGCATTTACAAATGAGGCCATAAAAAGTCCAGTTTAAACACTCCAGGGGATGGTTGGCTCAAGTGACTCTTAAGCACCTGTACTAACACAAAACCAGACTGTACGGTTTTCATTTTCACATTCGTGCACTGAATCCTTTTCCAATGCATCTATGATTAAGTTACTCCTCTCCTTCCTGACCTTGTTTTTAATAATCCTAGATTATGTTTTTCATAGTACTTCATTATCATCAGTTATTGTGCTTATTTGGTGTGAAGTATATATCTGATATACCTGTGATGTCTCTTCTTAGGAAAGTGAGGAACATACAAAAACCTCAGAGGATTTAGAATTTCAGAAGCTGGAAAGAGAAATCAACCAGGAAGAGGAGAAGGAGAGTCAAAGCCAAAAGCTGCTACAGGACATCGCCGAGTATCAACGTCTCAGCGTCACGCGCAAGGTAGAGCCAAGGAACTTTGTTCTTTCTGTGTCCATTGCATGTCTCACTTCAAAAACTACCGGAAAGCCTTAAATGAAACATAACAAAAGTACCCTTTGTATTATCCAATGAAATTTACTATATTCAAAGACACAAGCAATTTCTTAAAAAAAAAAAAACAGTGATTTTCTTATGCTTTGAACTGCCTTTATGTTATACTTTATTGTTTATCCTCCTACATATGTTGCATGAAATGCTGCAAACCAGAAGGTTTTACAAACTGGATCGATATGTTAAAAAATGAATTAACATAAACCGATATTTATGCAGAAAAATTCAATACTATTCAGATTGGGCCAATTTACAACAATGTCCTCTCAAGGCAGTTTATAGTCTATTCAGTAAAATCTTATAGACAGGTTGGGTAAAAGTCTTCTATGAAGGTATACACTTACATTAGACTCACTAAGCCTTCCTGAACACTTCACTGTGAGATGCTCAAAGCTTGGACTATTACCTACAGACCTTACCCTGATTTAAACTCATCCACAACTTTATGTCTGAATTTTCTTCTTAAACTATAGGTCTTATATAATACTGTTCATTTTCCACCATAGCTCTGTGGCCTGCAAACTGTATTTATACTGAGACACTCAAGTGGACTCTTTTCCATAGTTAGTTGACTTTTTAAAGCGATTAGTTGGGGTTCCCCATTTTAAGATGTAGATTTATTTACATATCATTTACTTTCTCTCATGCACTACCTTCTCGTGGCCAATCACAATAAATTTTGATTAAATGTATTACTAATTGGGATCATAATGTGCCAACACACAGGGAAACTAAAGGGGAGGTAACATACTTGCAAAACCTCACATTTATAGGCTCCATATGTGTTTACTTTGCTGCTAACGCTTCAACCTGCAACACATTTCCACCCACATTGCTAACTTTACTGCATTGTTTTTTCCCAAGATTTTTTATAAAAGTCAGCAGATATTTGTCACTGATGCCTCCTTGATGATTGTAACCCCACAGGAAAGAATCCTGACTCTAAAGAAACAGTCCTCGCAGATCACTTCACAGGCTCAGCAAGAAAAAGAAAACTTCCAGAGAGAAAAAACCAACTTGCTTGTCATGCTTCAAAAGGTAATGAAAAAAAACAATCTCTGCCTGAAGAGCTCAGAAACATTTCCTTTTAATGAGTTAAAGACGGCCTGGTGTCTGCAGGAGAGAGACAAGCTGCTGTCTTTGGATGGAAAGTATGCAGAGTTGTCTGAGGGGCAAACTCTACCCAACAGTCCTGTTGCCATCAAAGAGGTAGGAGTCAGTTACAGAAATACTGCAGCATTTTAAGGATAATTTCCTGTTTTGTGATTGCTCTGGTATTTGTGATTGCTACAGCACTTGGCCTCCCTAAAGGAGAGGAGAAGAAGCAGCAAAGAAAGCTCTTCCAATCCTATTGAAAGTACGCTTCATAAGAGAAACCAGCAGCTCCTCGGCTCCTATGGCAGATCTCTGGGACGCACGCTTCCTCCCAAGGTCTAATCTACACTAATCTATCAAAACCTATGAGAGGTGTATAGAGCAGTGGTTAAATAAAGAGAATGTTAAAAATTCATGTTAAAATGATTTCAGTTTATTTCTATGAAAGCTTACTGCAGTGTGCTAAAGTGAAGATTTAGAATGACACTGATTATTCTGTTTTGAGGTTTTAGAGGAGGGGTCTTTATAGTCTTATCAATTTACAAGGGAAAGCTCTTTCCCCTTGAGACAGATCCACCCAAAACAGGAATTCTCTATTTCACTTTTGCTTGCAACACTCAGTGAAATTAAGAGAACTTTGGAGAGTTTGGTCCTAAATATGTGTGTGTTTCCAAATTGTTCCTCAGGCTCATCTGCCTTTATCCCAAAGCTCCAGCTGTGGCAGCGTCATTCCACAAGGCTTCAGCTTCTCCCCTCGGGATGTAAACATGCGTCTGCTGCCTAAGGGTGAGTCACAGTGACAAACTGGCATCTTGTTAAAAAAAAATCCTACTTTTGGATGAAGTAGAATTTAGATTGCTTTGCTTTTTTAGAAGGTACCATCTTGCGAAACTATTCACAACCTTTGCACTGTTAAAGTTTTAACCATGTTATAGCTACAAAACCTCACTAATTTAATAACTTTTTAGATTTTACATGATAAAAAGTAGTGAGTAGCTGTGATGAAAACAAAAATGCGTACATATAGAAATCGTGAGCTTGGATACCCCTAAACAAAATCCGGTGAAATGATATTATAAAATTGTATTAGCACTGTTTAATCGATTGTCTGAAAAATAAGGTTTTAACACAGCAGCAGAAACAAGGCTGTGCATCTATAGAGAGAACAGGAACATTGATCAGAGAGTCAGCTGAGATCTCTGGAGGATGTTTAGACATTTACTGCATCAACTGAAGCCACAATTCTATAAATGTGGACTTTACAGAAACGTAGAATAAAGAAATAATTTTTTTGTTTTTTTCTTGAATGAATCAAGAAGTTGGGATGATTAACATTAGAGACAAACATTGCAAAAATGTAGTCCTGATCTTTGTTTGGTCTTCATGCAAAAACTAAATATAGCAGAAAGTAGCACTGTTCTCTGAGCATCTCTTCATCATGATGATACACGGTAGTGGCAGCGTCATGCTTTCGGAATGTTGTTCATCAGCAGAAACAAGAAAGCTGATTAGAATTGATGGTAATATGGTTGAAAATGAAGACGAAAATCAATCAGTACCTGCAGACACATCATGCTTTCATGTTTCTCAAACAAAAAAAAAATAATATAAATCCTTTTCCTTCTGCTTTACAGATATGAAACTAAACATGCTGCTCTGCTGTCATGTTCTTATCCTCTTTCAGCAGGAAACAGCTATGTTCACATGAATGACGACAGACAGAGGCAAAGTGAATTTTGCAGCAGGATGGTCTCTGAGCCCAACGTCTTCCTGGACTCCTTCTCCTACCAGGACAACAGTCTAGCATCGGACACCGTCAGTGTGGACAGTTCAGACAGCTTGGAGACCAGCTTCTCTGCCTGCTCACCAGACAACATCTCAAGGTTAGAGAGTAGTCCCGAATTACAGAAGGTTCTTTATTGTTGGTTTAACAGAGGAATCAATGAGAGTAATTAGTAAGCAGATAGAGGTCTTATTACATTCTGCAGAGGAAAAATGTTTTTTCTCTGACAGGAAAGATAATCCGATTTGGACAGCTGGCTTTTTTAACATTGTTAGAAGAGTTAAGGAAAAATATCTAATTTGTAAAGCAGAGACTTTGATCGGAAATTAGGTAATCTCTTTAAAGGATAATAAGCAAGTATATAAGCACTATTTCTAATGAAAGAAAAATGTTTCATTCATATAGTTAGAAAATAAAATGATATTATTTCCTACTCAGTAATTAATGGGAACATTTTTATAGTGATTCAAACAAAAAAAGAAGTATAATAATATAATAATATTTATCTTAATCTGTCGATTATTTTTTTGATTAATAATCAGATAGCAAAGGGTTCTTTAAAGAAGATCTTTTACAGATTTAAACTAAACTGTTTCTACTTTAAGAGTTCTGGATAGATCATATTGACAGACGAAAAAGTTTTTTGTTTTTTTTTAAATGCCAAATAATTACATATTTTTTTTTTACAATTTTTATATAACTTCTGCTCTGAGTGGGTTGCTTTGTCAGCTAAAGGCATGTTTTAGAGTCTCTGTACTCCAGTTAATGATTAATCGATTACTAGATTAGTTAACGATTATTTAAATAATCTATTAATCACAATTAATCCAATCAATTGTTTCAGCCCTAGTTTGAAGTCATTGAAGGATTTTGGTGGCAGGTTCATTCCTTCGCTCATCTTTGTTCATTTAAACAAATTCACCTTATTAGGTTTGAAGTTGCAGATTTCTCAACCCTAAAAAGCTCATCATATCATACTTTGTAAAAAACGAAGGTGCGCAACCTAAATTATTCCAAAAAAGTGGCCTAACAATAATTAGAAACTCTGTACTGTAATTCTGTAAGAAAGGGACTGAATAAACTGTTGAGAAAGGCCACTTTTGTCCTGGGCTGCACGCTGGACTCGGTAGAGGAAGTGGCTGAAAGGACGGCGTCCAGGCTTACATCCATCATGGAGAACACCTCTCACCCCCCTGCACCAGACTGTAGAGGAGCTGAGCAGCTCCTTTAGTGAAAGACTTACAGATCCTGTTTGTAAAAAGAAGCGCTACTGCAGGTCATTCCTCACTGCTGCCATCAGACTTTACTATGCAACACTAAAACTGAAATAACTTGTGCAATAACTAATGTGCAATCACTATTAAGTACCCTGTGCGATAACCTGTACAATAATCCTGTTAGATAAGGGATTTCAATATATATACATATACGTGTGTGGTCGCACTGTATATACCCCATGCACGTTTTCCTCCTTTTGGCACCTTCTTTGACTATTAAGCCAATGTGACAATAAAGTCCATATTCTCTTATCTTATCGTGAACTCTTTTTTTAAGAAGACCTGATCATTTTGTGCTGAGCAGCTAGCTTTCTCTCCTAGTGCCAGCACTTCAAACGTGGCAAAGATCGAGGAAATGGAGCGTTTACTCCGGGAGGCCCAGGCCGAGAAGCTGAGACTCCTTGAGCATCGGGTAAAAAAAAAACAAAGACCTGAACTGGAACTGAAAGTATCTGTTTGTGAAAATTCATGCAGTTTATTTTTCCAATTGTTTTGTGCAGGAGCGGGAGATGGAGATGCGCAGGCAGGCCCTGGAAGAGGAGAGAAGGAGGAGAGAGGAACTGGAGAAACGTCTGCAGGAGGAGACCAGCAGGAGACAGAAGCTTGTGGAGAGAGAAGTGAAACTCAGGGAGAAACAAAGATCACAGGTAAACCACAAGTTGAAACTCGGTGATCTCCTTCATGTAAATAGGTGGAAAACAGGTCTTATTAATATTTAGTGAAATTTCTCTGCAGTCTCGGCTGTTGACTCGCTACTTACCAGTGAGGAAAGATGACTTTGACCTCCATGGCCACATTGAGGCAGCCGGACACAATCCGGATGCCTGCTTCCACCTGGCCATCACTGATAAAACTTGTCGAGGATTTCTGGTCAAAATGGGTGGAAAGATCAAGACATGGAAGAAACGCTGGTTTGTCTTCGACCAGAATCGAAGGACGCTCACATACTATGCAGGTGGGCGCCCCTGTCTCTGCAGCAGAGGACATCTGAAGACACATCTGGATAGTTAGTGGTGGTGGTGAAAATGTTTGATCATGCCTCTGTTTATGTTTTCTGCTGCAGACAAACATGAGAACAAGATGAAAGGAGTCATTTACTTCCAGGCCATAGAAGAGGTTTACTATGACCATTTAAAGAACGCACACAAGGTACATGAGCATGTGTCAGTGTTTACATTAACATCTATAGTGAGGGATGAAAGTGCCAGAATCCAGTGCATAAATAATAAATTATAATAGTAGATCAGATGAATCAATTATTATCAAATCAAATCAAATAATTGAATAAAATATATTTAAAACTGTTATGAATAATATTTTTAGAACTCAAAATGGTTTAAAATATCTCATCATAGTTAATGTGAATTCAATACCTGCCAGCAATAAACAACTCAGTGATAAAAATGATAAGAAATAGAATAAAAAATGACAAATAAAATAAAAAAGGCCAGTCACCTTGACTAACTTAGGTTTAGGCCTGATATTAAGACAAAATAAAAAACAAAAGAATCCTAAAAGTGTTTATGCTTTACTCCCATCTAGTGGTGCGTTAAGGGAATTACACATGGTGCCAAGCTTGAAAGCGTGCAATAACTACTAAGAAAGTCATAGAGCAGAGATGGGGGATGTAGAGCCATCCATAGTGTCTAAGTCATATGTTTGTTGTGTCCAGCCACTGAAAAAGACTAGTCCAATCTGCACAGTGAATTAAACTGAGCAGATACAACTCGCCTCGTTCAATGACTGGACACAACAAATATATGACTTGATGGCTCTACATCCCCCATCTCTGTCACAGAATGGCATAACTGTAAAAATGTCAACATCCTGCAAAAGTTCAAGTGTTCTTTCTAGTAAAGAGGTGCAGAAACAATGTATGTTTTTTTTTTATTTTATTGATACCAATAAGTTACAAGTACATCCACCATGCATGACTTCTATGAAGTATATGCAACTAATAATTATTGCTTCATAGCAAGTTGAGTGTAAGCTATCAAACACTAGCCATCTCTGCAGGGAGGACAGACTAGTTACTGAATTACACTTTTTCTAACATACCACCAAAAGAAACTTCACTGTAATATTGAATTAACTTATCTGTACACCAGAAAGCCGGGAACCTCCACGTCTGTTTTAAAAACCTATTTCCTTTCGATTCCTCTCCGCCTGGTAAAAGCGACGCCACTGTAGACTCTTGTTTTCTCTCGGGTAGTATTTTTTTATTTGTACCGGTAACTTCCTTTTCCCTTTACTGTGCAAAAAAGTATGGATTGTTCCTCCAGATCAACAGAAAATGGAAAGTAGAATGATTTCTGATGTTGTTTCCTGTTTCATCCTCCTCCACTGACAACAGATGTTCATATACAGGTAGAACGCCTAAGACTAACAACTTTTTTGCCCTTTCGGCTACCGAAATCAAACATGGCGATGCAACATGGCGCAACTCATTGGGTGCAGCGCAATAAAGGAGCTTAGCCATGGGAAGGCTTTAATTTTAATTTGATTCGACTTTGGCAGAATGTGTATTTATGAAAGCTATACTTGACTTTTACTAATGAAAAGCCAAATTAGGTCCCACTATCCCTTTAAATCAATAAAATAAAAATAAAGTACAGTATAATACGAGAACTTTTAGGCTAGTTCACAGATTTTAGTTATTTAACATGAATTTCCCATTTTTCTTAGATGTTGACAAACAGCTGATTCACTTGATGGAATGTGGCACTTTCACCCTCAGAACTTCCCCTTGGGCCCCATCTCTGTAATCTATCTCACATTTGTTTATCTTCTTGTCTCCCTCCTTTCCTGTATCTCCATCACCATCTTCATATGTCTGAAATCCCACCTATGTCTAAACAACAGAGCCCCAATCCCTCTCTGACCTTCAGTGTGAAGACCCATGATCGGGTGTACTACATGGTGGCTCCTTCCCCTGAAGCCATGCGTATCTGGATGGATGTCATCGTGACGGGAGCTGAAGGACACATGCACTTCATGGTCTAGCAATCCCGCTTTTAAATTCATTTTCCTAAACCACTTAAAGCAGTTTCACCACTCTACCCATGTGAGAGTAATGATCAACACGTGCGGATTTGGGAGGGATTTTAATCAGGTCAACCAAACATTAGCTTCTCCGTACAATTATAGAGATGAACTAACGAGCATGAAGGAAATCAGTCTCCATGTGCACACTTCAATATGCAGCTGTGTATAAAAGTAGTGAATTGTTTAGCTTGTTTTTCTCTAGTTGTTTATGTTCTGTGAGATGCTGCAGCGGGTTTTAATCTCATGCCAGGTAGTTTTCCTTTTTTTTCAAATCAGGGAAGATTTCAAAGTTTGAACTTGCAACATGTGCTGATGGGTCTAACCCATTAAAGCTATTGTTTATTTTAAAAAAGCAGTCATAGGAATACAATATAAATCCACTTTTTTGCTTTAAAATAGTCTTTAATTTAAGGGTGCAAAAGCTTTAAACCATCCCATTTTTACTTTGCTTTCAAAGACAATTTTTTACTTTGACAATCAAATATTTTTAATTGTTTTGTACGTCATAGAAAGCATGAACTGTTAGCAATTTAACTGTATTTGAGATAAGCTTATTTCTGAAAACTTCAGCAAAGACCAAATATAGTACCTCATATGCCAAATAGCAGTTTCAGCAGGAATTACCTTATTGAGGCTAAAATAACATTAGCCGTCTGTTAAAGTGTTTAACCTTGATATGTTTAATATTTTCAGGTAAAACAAAACAACAAAAAACTGTTGAATAGAGCTGCTAAATCGTGTTCTGATGGGATGTTTCCTGCTGTGTGTAGACACAACGCAGGTTCATCAGGTCTTTTTTTTAAAAGTTACGCAAATTTCTGGTACCGCACAGTCTTTTGAAAATAAAGAAATAAGCATTCCTCTGAGCCACTTTTTGAAATTTTATGAAAGACTTGATACATATTCTATTCTGTTTACCATTTTACAAGAACAAACTTCAGTTAATAAGAAAATTGGCGAATATTTGCTTAGTGGAAGATAAAATGAGAAATGCATTGTTTTCTAAAGTAAAATAGATTGAAAAGTGGCTGTATCCAGTAGTTTCCAACATATTTTTTGTCCTTGGTCAGAGACTTGGTTTGGTTGGATGGATTTCTTTAGGTCTGAACTTTGATTAGGCCATTCAAACAAATAAAAATATTTTCATCTAAGCTATTCCATTTTTGCTCTGGCTAAATGTTTGTAATATTTTCCTGCTGGAAGGTTAAACTTTAATTTAGTTTCAAGTTTTCAGGTCCCTAAGAAATGCTTTGAATTTCGCTGTAACTTCATATCAGATCTGACCTTTTTTCTTGTCCTTCACCTTTCGAGTGAGATGCTAATGTCATCATATTTCTCTGTGGTGCTATTCTGTCACTCCTTTTCTCAAACAGAATCGTCCGTCACCAAGCAGCTGAATTGTACCAGAATAAATTGACAGCAAGAGAATTCATCTGAATTCAAGTGGTTGCATAGCTTTTTATAAGAGTAAATCAGGCTGAATATAAATGCAGAACAGATTTTAAGGATTTTAGGTTGTAGGACGGTTGGAAAAGCAGTTCTTTTTTCTTCTACTTGACAGTTAGCTGATATATGTTTGGTTTGAAACAGCAAATTCTCATCACAAACATCAAAACTTCTGGTTGCAATGTGACAAATTATACAAAAAGTCCAAGACATGAACCTTTTCTAATGTATTGTTTATAAGGAAATAAGGGGCCAACAAAGATTTTTGCACGACACGGCACTTTTCTTCTTCTGATGGTACTTTTAAGCGTTTCTATACCACAAACAGAATCATCATGGGTGTCTTATTAGAATGTCAGGATGAGAGCTTTTTTTTTCTATCTCTCTGTACTGTCAGTGGTGACAAAAAATGCACCTTTTATTTAGGTCAGATTTATGGTTCAGTCTCTTTTACTCCTTTCAGCCGCTGCTTTCTGATGACCAACATAAGCTGACCTTGTCTGCTTACCTTATGACAGGATTGAATGTCCACCATTGTTCTTCTTTTGCACCTCCTTCATTACCACAAATGCTGGAGTAATGAAGAGAAGATGTTTAGGAATCATTTGCAAGAACTAAATAAGGCATTGGAACTTCTAAAATCACAATTGTGCTTAATTTTATGCTGTTCAGCTAGCTCCCTCTGTCTGCCGTGGAGGCTGCAGGCCTCACATGATGAGGCCATGTTGTGCAACGGTGATGCTGGATGTTCCTGCGTCACCCATCTGTTCTTAAAACTAACGCATTTCAGCATTTTCCTCCAGCAGAGGTCCTCATTGCAGAGCTATTGCACTAGAGTGACGTAATGCTCTGCCTGGTAAGCTTATATTAACGAGCATTTTCTGCAGGAGCATATGCCATATGATTAGTATTCTTTATACTACATATAAGCAGTCATATGCAGGTGTATGCAAAGCTCTAAATTAGCTTTTAGGCTCTTTAATGCATTGTTTTGTATATTCATTAGTAAGACAATGTGCAGAATGCAGGCTTAGTTTACCCTTCGCTGTTTAAGTGTTAATTAACTCCTGCAGAGAGATGAGCTGAGACTGTCACAGATGACTTGTTTCCTCTATCATCGCTGTCACTTAAACATCTCATTGTTATCCAAGCCTTGAAAATAAAATATATAGCATTTATATATTTTTAATACTTCTATTGTTTTGTATTTTGTATATAAACACATTAGCATTGTAGTTGATGGAATATTCCAAGTTTTATACTCAACTTATGTCATGAATAAATACTTCTGACCTCAAAAGTTTAGAATGTCAGATTTTTTATTATGTTTGTGCTATAAACAAGATCAAAGTATATTTTCACAAAAAACGAAACTCCTCTTTTTCACTAAACCGAAACATGTGCCTGAGGATGCTAATGTTTCCTGTCGGAAATAGCACTGACAGGATGTTTAATGTAGGAATCAATACTCTAATAGAGTTAGATGCATCTCCATCAAGTACTCCTTTAAAGACTTTAACTCACAATCACTGTCTTATTTTGTTATGAAACAGAGATTGGACGACAGATCAGACCAAAAAAAAAAAAAAAACACAAAATAAATTAGAAAAAAAATGTAAAAGATACAGTTTCCCAACATGATAAAAATAGTTGTATTTAAATGACAAATTAAATAAGCTGAATAAATTTTAAACTGAAAAAGCGAAAATGAACTATAGGTATTCTGTTAGTTGTGCTGCATTTGAACAAAGGTATAATAAATAACTTATTGTAGAAAGGAGAAGAAAGTTGAAAATGTACATACCCTCCCATTAAAGAAAATTAAAAATTCACACTAGTTGCTCACAAAATAGAAAAGTAATGATAAATAAAAATGTTCTAAATGATAATTTAGCACAAGAAAATATTGATTTTGATTTTATGTTGAATAAAATTGAATAAAAAAAACCCTTAGACAAATTAAGCTACTTAAACTAGTCATGAACAGTGAACAAACACGGGTTCAGAAGTCTGACTGAACATTTCCTGAACATTACACCTGATTTAAGTGATCGCCAAATCAATGTCATGATTTCCTTTGTCATCATATTTCTTTAATATTACTTTTGTTATTTTCGGGGTTTTTTTAAAGGCAGCTGATTTTTTTTCTGTCTTTAAAGGAAGGGTATGTAAACATACATGCACAAATGAATGTATATATATATATTTTTTTTCTGCAATATTCAAATAAAATAAATACGTTACTGTAAGTCGACAGTGTTTGTTTGTGTGTGTGTCTGTCTCTGTGTGTGCTTATTAAGGCACTGTTGTTTAGAACTCCTCCTTCCAATATGTGCAGCCGTCCAATTGGTTGACCTAGTGGGGTTGGCATAGAAACACAGACTGAATCATGCTAAATTAAGTCCTTAAGAAACACATAGACCCTGCAGTGATGGAAACAGACACAAATACATCCAGACCATAAAACTATATGCTTCCCCTGAGCATTGATCAGTGCTTGAATTTGTATAACATATGTAGGACATAGATGATGTGGTCTAACAAAGTCCTATAAACTAAGTGAAGCATAAAACTTTGTGTGTGCATGATCTGTGGTGGTTCTGCACTAACGCTGCTAGGTTATCACTTAAAGGCATGAAGGCCACATTACTGCAGAATCATGTGAACTTATCTTAACAACAGACAGCATTCACGGACTGCTTTTTCTGCCGTGGTCATATTTGCTGTAGTAAAATTCATGATATAATTCACCACGATGTCTCACCATGTAAGTCCTTATTAGTCTTCCAAATTCCTGTGCAAAACACATGAATTATCACACATCTGTCATCGGTTTCAGCTGCTGTCAAAACCCTTTAATCCTGCAGTACAGGTGTTAGCTAAAAACTGTGGGACATGTTGCAGCAGAGCCTGGAGGTAAAACTGTTCTTTTTCTCAGCCTGTATCTGTGCCTAATGTGGAGAAGTCCTCGTGTTCTTCCAATGCCGGTGGTGGCTCTTCTATTCTCAGCATAGAGCCTTTGGCTTTATGAATATAATAACAGTCTTTTTGTAAACCAATGAAACATTTAACCTTTGTTTTTTTTTTAAATCTTTTTTAAAAATCAAGTGTTTCCAAACATCACCTCATGACTAAGATGAGCTCTTATCTTTAAAAAGATAATGCAAAAGGTTAGTACCTTACCTACAGGAGAGAACATGTTTGCTACCTTTATATTGTACAAATCCAAATTAGTTTTTTGCAAGCCAAGACCATAGCATATCTCTACAGTCTTAAAAAATTCTGATCTACAAAACCATAAATTCTAACACTACGTTATCATTTCATTCCCTGTTTGCTGGGTCTATCAGTGGATATTTACAAGGAAGTCTTTAAATATTTACAATGAAAGTAAAAGGAGAGTCTCTTTTTTTGAAACAGGTTAGAATAAAACAGAAGAAGCTATCATCTACAAGAATTCAATTTAGCTTTTATAGTATTTTAGATATTACATACAACTGGTTTTATCAGCCAGTTATTTGGACCAGGATACTGTTTGAAGTTTACTTTCACCTCAACCCCGATTTCCCTTGTAAATAAGCTACTACATCACAACTCTAATGTAAACACAAAGAAGTTTTAGAAATTCAAAAAGTATAGTTTGCATAAGGTGTTTTTTTTTTTTTTAGAGTGAGAGCCATTTATGTTGCTCTCGACCTCTTTGAGGGAAACTGTGTTTTACCTGGGTTAATAGAGATTTGCTGGGAAATCTGCTTTTACTTAAAAAGCTGATTTCTATAATTGAAGATATAGGTAAAGTAATATTTTCTGAAGGTGGAATTGAAAGTCAGAATTTAACAAGTAAGCCTTATTGTCAGTGTAACTGATAAAAAAAAAAAAATGCAAAGAAGGCGACAGATAAAAAGTATTTACAACTACTTCTGATGGTTTATATTATTCTATAAAAGCTACAATAATGCAACCATCAATTTTTTTTAACATTTAGTGATTAGATGCAAAACACTAGAAAAAGAATAAAATCATTTGACTCTTCTACTAATAGTAGTTAGAACCAAAACAAGTAGTGAACCCCTCTTCCTCTCTGTCTTGCATCTAGAGCATGCTCTCTTTGGGTTTTGCATAATTCCCAGATCAGATACCACTGACAATCTGAACCAAAAAAAAAAAACTAAATTAGTTATCTAATACTTGTTTTGGGGGGTATTTTTTGAATAATTACATGTTTTATCTCAGTTGTAAAGACATTAAAATCT